CTCTCTCTCTCTCTCTCTCTCTCTCTCTCTCTCTCTCTCTCTCTCTCTCTCTGTGCCGTCTCTTCACAGCCACAACACCAAGACAACATCGTGGCTGGACCCGAGGCTAGCCAAGAAGGCAAAGCCGCCCGAGGAATGCAAAGAGGATGGTGAGTGCCGCGTCTCTATCTTCTGTTTTCTCCTCCACTTTCGCTCATTCATTTTAATTACTTAAGTTGCCAACAGCGTTTATTATTTATTAAGATTTCGGGCTTGCCTGTTGATCTACGGAGAAGCACAGTGCGATGGTTTCATCCGAGACTTCACTTCATTGAAGGAGCATTTAGTGATTTTTTTTATTTTTTATTTTTGTGTGCCACTGGAGGATTTCTATTTATGAGGAGTTACACGGTGGCAATGTTCATATGTGTGTCAGGCCTTGGCTGCTGTGAATAGGAAGTCCCGTGATGTGTGCTTAAAAGCCCAGGTCCACAGGGACTGGAGGTTACAAAGACTTCTTTATTCTCAGCTGAGAGAGATGTGGAGTGTCCTTCACCAGCCCACACACACATACACACACACACACACACACACACACACACAGCAAAAAGAAAGGAGAGGGATGAATGTCAATGCAGCAGGCGTTTTATAGACGAGCATACATATATACGAGTGTGTCATCTATCTCTTTCGGCCTCACCCTCCCTCCCAACTTCCCCATCCGTCTTTCCTTTTTGTGTGCAACCGAGAGGAGATTTATCGCCTGAGTTATAGACAGGGAGGTGGTGGAGCTGGGGAGGAGGACTGGAGTTGGAGATGGACACAGACAACAAATGAGAGATGACTGTCACTTTTCTTTTTTAGTGTATGTCTGTGTGTGCGTGTCGGTTGGTATATGGTCATGGTGGGTGTCTGTGTGTATATTCCTGGTCAACACATAACCACAGGGATAGAGTTTCTCTAAAAATACATCCAGCACTCAGACACGTACGCATGCAGCGAGAGGGACAGACAAACAAGTCAACTTGGGTCAAACTGTGTTTTTAATTTCCCTCTCTGGATTTGTTGACTCGTGTGCCAGCTCTGTGGGACGTTACGACAGTGTGGTGAGTAGGGCTGCAACAAATATTGTTTCTATTATCAAAAAATAGAAAAATACTTTTTGATGACTTGTTGGGCCTAGAAAATGTGACAAAATAGTACAAATAATGTCCATCACACGGTCCCAGACTGAAAGGTGATGCCTTCTGACTGCTCGTGTAGTGTGAGCAACAGTCTACAGCCTAAGAATATTCAATTTCCAATATAAAACAAAGTTGGTTGGTCCAGACTGAAATATCTCAACAGCTATACGTTCATGGTCCCCAAAGAACGAATCCTCATGACTTTGGTGATCCCCTGACTTCGCCTGTAGCGCCTCCATGAAGCTAACATTCGTGGTTTTGAGTGAAACGTCTCAACATCGATCGGATAAATTGCCAAGATATTTGACACGCACATTCATGTTCCTTGCTAATTAGCAAATGTTAGCATACTAACACGCCAAAGAACGATGCTGAACAGGGTAATTGCTGCACCTACTAAACATCAGCATGTTAGCATGTTTGTTGTTAGCATTTAGCTCCAGGCTCAGCTAGGTACAGCCTCACAGAGCTGCTAGCATGGCTGTACGCTCTTTGTTTGTTGTTGCTTGTTGTTGGTTAAACGGCATTTATCTCATTTTTATAGATCATCTAGACCATCAAGTGAACAGAAAGTTCAACCATATAAAGCTGAGAGGATGTCAGTGTGAGAAATACAGTTAGCTTGAAGATATTTTCCAAACCTGCAGATAACGAGTTTCCTACCTTGGTGTGGATAATATAAATGTGAAGCGATATTGACTCCAGCCAGACAGAGTGAGAGAGGGAGGACTGGTACCTGCTCTGAAAACATTTGCACTGTGCGCGCCAGCATTGAACATGGGGATTGCTTTGCTAACACCTTACCCATTTTATCCTCCCCACAGAAATTGCCATCCTGATCTTGCATTTCACTCACAAGATTTCCTGTCTGGTTTCTGAACGTCTCCCCGTTCCCTCTCAATCTTTACAGTAAAGATCTCCAAGGTGATGAGATGACACAGGGACACAAAGACAGAGACGCCTGTGAGGAGTCCGTCAAAATGTGATTGCACTTTTACCTCCCGCATTTCTAATCCTATTTACCCACTTAGGACGGTCGCAAGAGGAGATGTGCTGATGTTTGTGAGGACGGTTATTGATCTCGTCGGGGCGAGTCATCCAGTTAGTTAGTCCCAGCTGTGGGGATCATGGTCGCAGCGTGCTGCAGCTCTTGCACGTTGCGATTGTTGGCCGAGTTTGAGCAAGTTCATGACAGTCATTTTGTTTGTTTGTTTGTTGTTGCTCGCCTCTTTTGTGCAAATTGTTGCGTAAATTAACAAGGCAAGCTGCTTTTGACGAATCCCTGCTTCTTTGATAGATTCATATTCATGTCATCATAGAGATTCAGCGGTTTGTTAGCGACATCACTAATCACACTGCATTCTTAGTTATCCTTGAGTGTGTTGTGTGCAGGATTTTCTTCTTTTTGACTGTCAGCGCTAAAAGATCCGTGTGTGTCGGGGGGAATGGTAATTATGACGAAGGTGTCTGATGTTTTTAGGTTTCAGAAATTTAGTTTGTTTCCAGCTGAAGGGGGTTTGTGTAAGCGGCCATATGAGAAGTGTGTTGTTCACTCCAAACATCTACAGCCTGGTGGCACCCACCAACCCCTGGGAGCTGAGCTGTTAGGGAGAGAAAAGCTGCCTCTGTAAATTTGATATTGATTGGTAGAAAAGGTAGGGGTGTGTGTTTGTGGGTGGGTGTATAAGTGTATGTGTGGGTATATATGTGTGTGTGTGTGTGTGTGTGTGTGTGCGTGCGTGTGTGCGTCCACGTTTTTGAACCATGCTCTGATAAGCGCTAACAGGATCGCAGGGTGGAATCTGTGAGCTGTGACGGGACAACAGGCTGAGAGGAGGAGGAAGAGAAGGACAGTATTAAGTGGGACTATATGCGTATGCAGGGAAACACACACACACACACACACACACACACACACACACACACACAGTAAAGAATAGATGAAGAAGAAGTTTGTTGGTCCTTGACTTAAGGAAAAGTGGCAAAGGTAAAGACACTTGATAATTAGTCTTGTATACAGGATTGTACTTGGATTTTACTTGAAAGTCAGTGATAAAATGTAGTTGAGTAGGATCGTACTGATTTATTACAACTTATGGTTGTTATGGTTACAGTTAATTACTGCCTGCTAATTGAGACTGAACAAAGACCAGTGTCCTCAGATGCTCAGACAGGTTGTGAAAAAGCCAACACTTTATTCTGATTATGTGAATTACTTTTTTACTTTTTTGATAACTTCATAAAAATGAGGCCCACGTTGTAATACAGTGGATTTATTGTATTTACTGATGCAATAAGCTGCACTTAGAAAACACTGTAGTTGTTAGAAGTGGAGCTAATTTTACCTGCTTTATTTACTGTTTGGTGGCCTACTTAAATAAAAATATCTAGTAGTATTATCAGCACAATGCACTGGCCCCTGTTAGTTATACACTGCTATATATTATATGATTAGTTAGTTATTGCTGAGGCCTTAATGTGTAATTGGCGTTTTACTGTTGTGGAGGTCAAGCTCATCTTTACTCCTTCATACAGTGTTGGGTAGTTTGATCTTTAGCAGAGCGTGATATTCAATCAGCTGATCATATGTTTTGTATTTAAAGCAACTGGCTGTGAGGTAAATGCAGTGGAGCAGACGTATAGAACAGCATCAAAAACAAACAAAAAAAGGAAATACTTACTTATACCTGAGTAAATGTTTTCACCGCTGGTAAAGACAGCTTGTTCGCTCTTATGTTTAAAGTCAGCTGCAACACATACAAACCAGATTCTGTCAAACTATGCAGGGAAATGTGTGTTTCGCTTCCCCGCGTTCAAAGAGGCGTCGGCTCCAGTGAAGACTGAGCAGTTGACATCACTGGCGCCTTGTAGTTACATAACTCACTCTGTATTTCTCTCCCTCTCTGCCTCTGTCTTTCTCACCTCCTCTCTCTACCTCCGTATCCATCTTTGTCCCCCTTCCCTCCTACACTCCCTCCTGTCCTGCTGTCTCTTCTTTTTGTTTTGCTAGACGAAAAGAACTAGGACAGGCTCTTTACAGAACCTCGCTGTTTGCTTTAAACACTGTCACCCTCTTAAAGTTTTTTTATTTTATTTTATTTTTTGTTTTTTGTTTTTTTTCTGTCCTGCCAAATATTTGTTTCCTGGGGGAAAAAAAGAAGCTGAGGGGTCTTGCTGTTGTCTCACTTGATTCTTTACGTATTCAGCCTGTTTCTTCGCCTCAGGTGTGCCAACGCAGGTAGCGAGAATCCCCCTGACAAGTGAATTAAAAAGCAGACAAAACTGTAAGATGTTGCTCGTCACTATTTCAGCATGTTTCATCAGAAGACAGCGTGTCCTATCCAGAGAGGCTGAGCACATACAACACAGGAATGTACAGTATATGAATATAGACAGATAGGGTTGGGATTATGACGGCGGTGATGCTCAGGTTTGAAGGATTGAAATCGTATTAGAGCGCTTCTTTGTCTTTCACCTCTGTGGATCCCAGCAGACGCCACTCGTGTGCATGCAGGGAGCAGCAGACCTAGACATGGATTACATTCTGGTCACGTGAGGAGCTTCACGGACAAAGAGACAAAGTTCTTATCGTCTCTTGCAGACGAGCTCACGCTCCTTTTTTCTCCTCTCCCCTGGGGAAGTAGCAGAGCTGGTGTTTTATTCGTTTTCTCACGTCCTGTGCAAGTGTGTATGCGAGTTTGTGTGTGTGTGTGTGTGTGTGTTTGTGATTCTCCATCACTTGTGTCCAGATTGGATGCTCCTCCGGCATCTCGCTCTGTTGTCCTGTCAGTCCCGCTCAGTGGGGCCGTGCAGGTAGATTTTTATGGGACACAGGTAGTTTTTTTTTTTTTCNGTGTGTGTGTGTGTGTGTGTGTGTATGAGCCTCAAAGTAAGTGAGCTGATACGCTAAGTAGAACTGGGCAATAAATCAATATAGTATTGATAGTGATCTTTATATTTACTGTGGTCGTTCAGTCTGGGTTACG